TAAGATGCTCCACCTTAGCTCTGGGGATAGGATTTCTCCTGTGTAGTCAAATCTGACTCTAGGTGGCGTTGCTCATCTCCATTTCTTAGCCAAGAGAGCAGCATTGTCTGAAGAAACATGTGGTGAGCATGATTATACAACATGCTGTATGGTACAGTGTTACCTTCCCACTGAAGTGGTACCTATATATCTACTCTCATTTGCATGCTTTTGAGTTGCTAGGTGGGCAGGAGTGGGAGCAATTAACAGGAGCTCACCCCCACCTCATGGTGCAGTCTTGAACCCAGCTTTCTAACTGACATTGTGTTTCTCGATAGTAAATATATCGTGCTATAGTATAGCATATATATCCTATCCAGTGGTGGGTTACAGGCGGTACGCTGCGGTTCGGGCGTACCGGAGTCTGCCCGGAGCACAGGGTACCGTTCTGGTACAGTGCTCCGCAGGGCACACCTGCTCACCCATGCTCCCTACTTGTCTTTAAATCCTTTGGCGCTTCCGCGCACATGCATGGCACATACAGTGCCTGTGCGACGCTACGCCGAGCAGCTGGAGCATTGCGGAGGCTCGTGGAGGCATTGCTGGATGGTAAGATGCATGCACGCACTGTGTGTGTGTTTGTGTACATGCGCTGCATGCGTTCATGTGGAGGACACCAGGCCCCGTTGCAACAGTACCAGTTGCAACAGGATCCAGAACCTATCACTGATCCTATCCATCTAGTTTGGTATGCTTTTATTTGCTTTTCATTTATGTTTTCCTGCTTGGTTTCAGAGGGAAGATAAGAATGTGCTGCAATAAAAGCAGCAACAGGGAAAGGCCTAGAAAACCAACTGATTTAATGTTGCTTAGATCCTAAATTCCAGAATTTTATGCACAGGAAAAAAGAAATTCTCTATAAAATAGCCAATGCAATGATAAATTCTCACTGGGGAACTATCTTTTTATACTGCAGCCTCTTAAACTAAAAAAACAGGAAATTCAAACTGAGGTGAATTTGCAGTTAGAACCATTATAATATCACTTTCACCTCCTCTGTGTGAAAATTAAATCAAACTGCCTAGCAATGTTTTTGTGAATGTATAATATCTCTACTCTAAGAGCATTGAAATGTAATAGAATCACTGATCATGCTTACCAACAAACTGAAAAAAAAACATTTAAATCCAAACTGGTTATATGAAAGCACATCAGAAGCAGTGGTCCATAGGAGAAACAGACACCATCCTACAACATACTTAGCCCAATTACTCACTAGCCCTGTCAGTCCTTCTTATTAGTTGTTCTGGCAACCACAATTGTAGGTGAATCACAATTTGGGAAAATATATACCGTAATCCCCACCCATTCTCTCCATTCCTGGACCCACAGAGAGATTACCGGTAAGGCTTTGCTACACCACTATTTATTTCCCCATCGGCCAGGAAAGCAACTAGAATAGTTTACTGTTTGAGGCAGTCTGTGTTTGGCAGATGAATTCTTTTAGATACTTCTTTTCCTTTCCTTTCCTTCATTCCTTCCCCTCCCTTTCCTTTCCCTCCCTCCCTCCCTCCCTCCCTCCCTCCCTCCCTCCTATAATAGCACTGTAGTTTGGCAACTAGTGGGCAGAATATACCTTTTAGCCACAGTGGGGCACTATATATTCACATTTATTTCATGTTAGAAAATCAGGAAGATTATCCGCCAATGTATGCAAGGAATCAATTTAATAGCATTTATCCAATTTTACATAGAAATTGTTTGCATTTCTGCATCATTTGGACAGTTGCTGTGCAAATTGTTTTCTATATTAAAAACAGCTCAGCCAAATTTAAGGACTGGTTTTCAGAACATTTTGAATTAGCAAAAGAAAGAATACTTTTGAATCTCCTATAGAAATCAAGATGATTTGAATATGCCCCACAGTACTGTTATTAGACCATTTATGTTTTCATATTCAGTGGAGCCGACTCTTTTTTTTTTTAAGTTCTTGTGTCTTTCCCATTTTCTTTCTCCCTTCACAAAAGTCAAGACATCTTTTGCGTAGATGGCAAAAACACAGAACACTTTTAAATCTAATTTCCAATCATGTTCACCTATCAGTTATCAATCAGTTATTTCCTTCCGTCTTAATCCATCACTGCTAAATATGTGCAAGATTAAGGCAAAACCCTCTGAAAGCACATGTATGATTAAATATGCATTCACATAAGTTTAGGGCAAATCCCCAACAAAAATATTTCTGGTTTTAAGTCAATATGCTGCTTTATCATCTTTTCCAATCACCTTTGTATTTTTGTCCAATATTTTTTTGCTTCTAGACATGTCCACCACATATGATGATATGACCCAGGTGTCTGGTGGCATTTTCCTTCTGTTCTCTTCCTTGTCAGCGATCAATGATCTGCCATTTGGGTCTCATGTACATTTAGAAGAAAAAGAAGGAGTATTTGCAGGACTAAAGAAGAAGGATTTCTTTTGCAAATATTGGGTTTTCTCGGGATGTAAAGGAATTAGATATGATGATGTTGGAAATAACTCATTCCCGAATCAATAATCATGAGTGCTACAATGAGAAGTAGAGTCATTTCTAATCTCAATAAATCCAGTATCTGAGCTAAGGATATATTTTACTCCTATTGGATTTATTCATGGTTATGATTATTATTACAAGCTTAAAGAGGAATAAAGACCATATGAAAAAAATTCCTAAAAGGCAAAATTGTCTTCCTTTGATGGTTTGACTCAATCCCAACTGTAAAACTGAGGACTGATTAGTTGGATTGCTTTCTTTCTATCAAGA